ACATGCAACTTTTATAGAATTTTTAAATTCCAGGGAACCATAAAAGCTACTCCCTCCGTCCAACAATAGTTGTCCACTATATTATTTTGGGATGTCCAACAATACTTGTCCACTTTATGAAATCAATGGATAATTTTTCACTTAGTTCCTAATTTACCCTTATCATTAATTATAGTAATTTCTCTATTACATTTTCCAAGACATGATATTTATTATATTCAAAGGGTGATATAATAAAATTACCCTTCTATTTATAATTTCTTAAGAAATGTGTAAAGTCAATAGTGGACAAGTATTATTGGACAGAGGGAGTATTTAGCTAAAGATTTCTTCTAAAGGTAGCAAAATGAGTATATGGTTTTTGTAAAAATATTTAGCACCATACCATCAACGTGGTACTTTTTTATTTTTGGTCGTTATTGAGACTTCTAATTTTATCAAATATGAGAAGCAGATATATATATATATTCACCATAACTGCAAGGCAAAAACACATGTGATGAAGAAAATCAAAAGTGCAGTTAGCGCTATGTTTTATTTCTTTCCATGTAGAATGTTTTATTGCTCCAGAACTAAGAATTGAGAGCTTACAACAGTTAATTTGCCACACAGAAGCCCATCAACTGCATCATCCAGGATGTACTACATATTAGATTACCTCAATAGTCTTATTCTGTGTATCTTCCCCTAGCACATCAACTTGAAGACCTTCACTCCTCAATGCGTGAATGGCATTGCCACGAAGGTGTTGCAGCGGATGCCGTATCCCAACAACAACTCTACTAATCCCTGCCTAACAAAGATGCATCAATTGCATTTCCTGCTAAACTTAAAAACAAAAGCATACATATATTATCAACTTTTGCAATCAATCTTCCTGTCTAACAAGATGGTGAAATAGATGAATCTTTTGCGTGTTACATGAACTTCTCCTCCCAAGTCCCAACAAGAATGCATTACAGTACCATGCTCCTTAAAACATATATGTTTCTTTAAGTAAGAGATGCAATTGGGATCTTGTGCAGTAAAATACAGCAAAGTAAACTAGTAAATGTCTTTATGTCTGTGAATTCTTTGAAGAAAATTCATTTTGTATACTTGTAGTATATGCTGGTATCTTTGAGTGCCTTTTCTCAATTCTCACAAAAACAAAAAAAAACAAAAAAAAAGAGATCTAACTTTACCAATCCAATTTCACATGGTATAGAGACGATATCTGTATCAAGGACAGCTAAATAAACAAACTTGTTTTGTTGAATTGAATACATTATCAAATTGAATAATAAACATACCTTGATTATGGCGGAAACGGCACTACTATCACAGTGACAGTCTCCAGGTTCCATATTAAGATAAGCAGTAGCACCTCGACACTGCTCGCCAGCGGCTTCAACAGCCTGCACTTCCGCCGGAATTGTCCCTTCGGCGTACAAGTAACTTTCTCCGACCACCGTACCTCCACCATTTGGAACAGCGATAACGCAGCCGAAATTAGGATGAGGAGCGGTAAATCCGGCCGATTTGTCGGCTAACTCGGCTGCGCGTTTAATGTAGAGAGAATCAAAAGATGAAGCGGATGTGTAATTGTAGTTGGAAGAAGAAGAAGCAGAAATGGGTTTGCAGAGAAAAGGTGTAGCTAATCCTCCTAGCAAATGCGCCATGGTTTTTGTGGTCAACTTTGAAGATAATTGCAGAAAAAATTGAATGTTTAATAGCTTCGGTGAAGAAGAAGAAGAAGCAGCATATATGGGCCGTAATTAATTGTGTCTTCGAGCTGGACTTCACCCAACTCTGTCAAGTAGACATGAAATTTACATTACTCAATGACCTTGTAAATGGATGTTTTCAAACTTTTACCCTTTGTTTGGTCGGTAGTTAAGTATTGTTTCATAATATATTGTATCATATTGTATTGTATTTTATCATACTATATTATTTTAATGTATATAATGTTTGGATAAATTGTATTGTTTTCGGTTGTTACATAATTTGAATGATAAATCTACTAAAAAAAGTAGGATACAAGGTAGATTTATTATGAAAAAGGTAAAGATGAAATATAATTATTAAATAAAAAATAAAGACAAAATAAAAAGAAAATATTAAGATAATAACATGATCACATCAAATCGGGCGTCACATAAAATGGGTCTTTTCGTTGTTACCTAAGATGAATTTAAACAATACTATACAATAGTAGAATTTAAGTAACAATTAAAATAAACATTGTATTTACACTAACAATACAATACAATACAACAAGTAACAACCATCTAAACGTGGTGTTAATCACTACTTGTTCAATAAATAAATTTAGGATCAAAAGTCAAAACGTATTAAATTGATAAAGAAGGGGTTTGTTATAATAAGCATTCTTCATGTTCAATTTTAAGATTATAAATTTGAGTAATCAAAAAAATAAATAAAAGCTCCTAAAAAAAGAATTTTGTTAAATTTAAAATAAAAAATACATTATTACCCCATTAAAATAAGACATGTTTTTACAAAATATTTTAACTTTGCAGGTCTATTATCCCCTGGAACAATTTTACATTGGTTTTATAACATCTTTTTTGTCAATCTACGTAGAGAGTGTATGAAATTTAAAATAATGATAATAATATTAGTTTTGTGAGTATTTTATTATAAAATGTATTTTCTTATTTATTTATTTATTTATTTATCGATTGATTGATTGATAGTTTTAACCTCTTTTCTTATTCTTTTTCCTATTTTTTTTCCCTTCTTTATTTCTTCCTCTTTCAAAAATTAGTTGCAATCATGGTAGAATTCCACCATTTTCACTGTCACCATTTTTGTCACAACTCTACCCACATTCTTTTACTACTATTATTTTAATTCTCAACTCTAAAAATTTACATTTCGAATAATTTGTTATACCAATTAAATTTTAAGATAATTACAAGATATCATTTAGCTTTTCTTTATCCAAATTTCAATCAAGATTCTATTCATTTTTAAGAAATTCATTGATTTTTTTCAAAATTATCCACTCGAATTTTAAAGTTATATAAAAAGAAGAAAAATCAATTAATGATATTTTCAATACTTTGAATTTGCTTAAAGAATAATTAACTTTTGTTATTAACAACCCAAAAAATCAAGAAAAAAGTTTAATTTTTTAAAAACAAATTCAATAAGAAGAGGAAAAGTTTGCCACAGAAAAGAAGAAAGAAAGAAAATGGGGGAAAGGGTCTGTTGAACGTGGAGGGGTGGGGTGAAAAGGGGGTGTATTTTAAATTAAGTTAAAATAAAAAGAAGTTAAAAGGTAAGAGAGAGAAAAAAGAAAAATATATAAAATGAATATAATAATATTTTTTAATTAAATTAACACATGTCAAACATTGATTGGTGCGTGATTGGTACTTGTGTTTTTAAAATTGGGACTGGTTAAAAAATGTCAGTTCAAAGTTGTTTGGGGGTAAAAGGATTTCCGCAAAGTTCAAGTGTTTTCTTCAAAAAGGGGTCTTACTTTAATGGGATAATGACGTTATTGTATATTACCCATCAATAGCAGTTGAATAAGCTAAGATACTCTACTACAAGTACTTCCACAATAAGATGCTACTATATATAAAAGCCAAAATAACTTGAAGGACCTGAAAATTGTGTAATGAGGGCTGGAATGCATGCAAAAATGAATGTAAAATAGATAGCCAACAATGACTGAACAATAAGGTTTTTCGAGAATAACTGGATCCCAAACTTAAACCTCATCTAGGGTCCCCTAAATAGAAACGAGGAGAAGCTAATTAACACTAGAATCAATGCTAGCCTAGGGGAGGGAGAATGAAAATTGGTGGTGCTATCCTTCGACCCATATATGCACCAGAGAGCCAGCCTCGCCAACATCATCTAAGACAACTTTTCCTTACTTGGGGGCTTACCAAGATGGCCACATGATTTTGTCAAGAGTACTTACTATATGTTCGGACAAGGGACCGGAGACCAACAAGAAAGATATGGAAGCTAAAAATTCTTAACAAAATATTTTTTTTTTCATTTGGCTCCTCAAACATAATATATAGACTATCCACTAATGGCTACCTACACAACATACATCAACATCAACCCACAATGTCACAACTGTACTGTGCACCAAAACAAAGACTAGCTAGTATCACATATCATCTTTCACTACTACCCTAAATTAAATAGCAAGGACATTTTGGAGGGAACTCACACTCCACAACACTTTCAAGGTAGAGATATATAGTTCCCTCAAGCATGAATATATATAGAGTACGTAAGTCCATTAAGGATAAGCTATTCAATACCAAGGAAATTCATGATATTCCTTTTCAACCTATGACATTTGTGGCTGGCTAGGAAGAAACGACAATGGAAACAAATACAGAGTCACAAGAAGTATCGTGATGGCTAGTGCGTTATTGAATACCACCTCTTGATCGACCGACACAAACAACAATTGATGAGATTACAATTTAGTTAATCACACAGTTAGCATTCGTTTTACAGTTAGCATTAGAATACACAAAATTAGTTAGAGTTCACAAAGTTAGTTGGTTAAGTTGTTAAGTTGTTATTCTGTCAGATCAAGTTAGTTAGCTGAAATAGTGTATATACACACAATACTGTATTGCTTATATTTCCTCAGTTTATTCTCAATAAAAAATTCTTTCACTTCTCTCTCTCTGAATGCTCTTCTCGTGAAGCTTAAACCTCCATTAATGGAGAAAGCTTAATATTTTCCAGCTTATGCTGTTGTTTTTTGTCATGGTATCAGAGCAAGGGATGATTTCTGTCTTCCGCATCTGCATTACTTCATGAGTATTGCACATCCAGTTTCTTCTTTTGATTCTTAATTCGATTTCACGATCTGTGATTTAGGGATTTCGTGATTTCTTGTTCCCCTGCCTCTATTCTTCTTTCTCACTTCCTTAGATCTCGTTTTCTCTCTTCTGTTTCTCCATTTGCAAATCTCGAATTGTCCCCAAATTGTTCTTCAATTTTCATCCATGGGTGATGCACCAATTGTTGCTCCTCAAATAGATTTCAGCAGTCCACTCTATTTGCATCCTTCTGAGAATGCAGGTTCAACATTATTACCAGTTGTTTTTTATGGAACTGGGTACAGATCATGGAGACGAGTTGTTCTCAGGGTCCTATCTGTTAAGAGTAAGACTGGTTTCATCACTGAGAAAGTTGTTAAGCCAACTTCTACAGATCCTTCCTTCTCGCAATGGGAGAGGTGCGACGATATGGTGACTTTATGGATTCTCAATTCCCTCTCACCTGATTTGCGCGACAGTTTACAGTATGTTAACAATGCCATGGAACTTTGGAATGAATTAGAAGAGAGATATGACCAGACTAATGGTTGTAAACTCTATCAGTTACAAAAGGAGATCAATGATCTTGTGCAAGGAACTTTGGATATCACTGGTTATTACACGAAGATGAAGAAACTGTGGGAGGAGATGAACACTCTTGACTTTCACTCCCAGTGTACTTGTGTATGTGTCTGTGGTGGTAAGGCCAAAATACATCAAGCTGAACAGGATAGGAGACTTGTACATTTTCTGATGGGTTTGAATGAGATGTACACTATTGTGAGAGGAAGCATTCTCATGATGCCTGCATTACCTAGCATGACACAAGCTTTTGCTATATTGTTACAGGAGGAAAGACAAAGGGAAGTTAGGCCTCATAATCACACTACTTTGGAATCCACTTCCCTAAATGCCTCTATTTCACCTAATGTTGCTACAAGATCCAGAGTTTTCAGGACCAACTATGCATCCTCAAGAGGAGGTACTAATAGTCCAAATCCCAACACCAACACCAACACTGTCTTCAGAGGTAATTCTAGCACTGGTAATAGATCAAATCTGTTTTGTGACTTCTGCAAACGTACCGGTCATACCAAGGATAGGTGCTACAAACTTCATGGTTATCCATCCAATTCTAGACCTCCTAAGGGAAGAAGCTCAGGTTCTGCAGCAAATACATATAGTTCTGAAGAGGACAAGAATCACAATGAGGAGTCTGATGAATCAAAGAGACAAATGCCATTGAATCTGTCCAAAGGTCAATATGAGCAATTGCTTAACCTCCTGGGATCTCTGCAAGCTGGAAATGGGACTGATGGCTCAGGAAATATGCTTAGTGAAGCTGTGAACCTCGCAGGTATTTTAGCTTGCTATTCTTCAATTACTGAGATAGGTAATCTATCATGTAAATGTACTAGATTAGCTGCTAATTCTTGGATCATAGACTCAGGAGCATCACATCACATGACTTACACCAAAAATGCCTTAACTAACCTTAGAACACTACCTTATCCTTCCTTGATCACCTTACCAAATGGATACAAAGTCAAGGTAACTGAGTTCAACATTGACTCTGTGCAAAGTTTTATTCATACCTAGTTTCAAATTTAATTTGATTTCAGTTCATTGTTTGGCAGTTCAACTCAAAGGAACAGTCAGTTTTGACAGCTCTTCTTGTCTATTGCAGGGCCCTTCTCTGAAGAGCCCTCTGGCACTTGGTAGAGCTAGGAATGGACTATATTTTTTCTTTCCAAAATGCCACAACTGTGGTCCAGCTTCTGGTGGTTTATCTCATGTCATCTGTTGTTCTACTGATAGTTTTTTCAATTACCAACATGTTCCTTCTTTAGTTCAAAGTAAACAAGTCTTAGCTAAGACTGAGTGTCAAGCTTCACTATCATCTACTGTAAAAGGTTCTCATGTTTCTAATAAAGACGCTTACACTGTTGATTTTTCTTCAAGTTCTGTCAATAATTTTCCTTCCTTTGCTGTAAATTTTGTCCACACCCATGCTCAGGATAGTGAATTTTTGTGGCATACTAGACTAGGACATGTGCCTTTTGTAAAGATGAGAGGTATTTCTACCATACCAATACATTTTTCAAACAAACAACCTTTTACTTGCACCATATGTCCTTTGGCCAGACAAACCAAAATGCCCTTCCCTGACAGCCTTACCACAACCACCAAAGTGTTTGAACTACTTCACATTGACCTATAGGACCATATCATGTGCCTACTCATGATGGTTATCATTATTTCCTAACCATGGTAGATGATCATAGTAGGTCTACTTGGACCCAATTACTCAGATGCAAAAGTAATGCATTACACACTGTAAAGGCCTTCATAACTCTTATAGAAACCCAAATCCAAACTAAACTGAAGACTATCAGATCTGATAATGGTTTAGAGTTCACAAGTACTGAAGCAACTTGTTTTTACCAAGAAAAAGACATCATACACCAAAGATTCTACCCTTATACCCCTCAACAGAATGGTGTAGTAGAAAGGAAACATAAACACCTCTTTGAAACAGCAAGGGCACTCTTGTTCCAATCAAAACTACCTATCGGATATTGGGGAGAATGTGTCCTCACTGCCACTTATCTCATAAATAGACTACCCACAAAACTGTTGCAGAACAAATCTCCATATGAACTACTGTATCAAAAAAGGCCAACTTATTCCCACCTTAGAAGTTTAGGATGCCTTTGTTTTCCAACCATTTTGAAGAATCACAAGGATAAATTTGAACCACGAGCCACACCACACATTTTTATTGGATACCCTTATAATACAAAAGGTTACAAGGTCTTAGACTTGGCTACCAAAAGAATTCATGTATCCAGGGATGTTCTTTTTCATAAAACTGTTTTTCCCTTTGTTATTGCTCCTCCTAATTCGAGTTTTAATTCTGTCATACATTCACTTGTTCATCATCCTGATAACTTGTCTAACATACTTGGTACAAATAATATTTTTGTTCATGATGAACTGTTGAACTCTCATGCATCACCAGAAATTGTCATTAATCCTGTGCCCATCAATACTACTAATGTCACATTGAATACATGTACACAACCTGAAACTGCACCTACACTTTCATTTAGTGATGCTCCACCAGAACCTACAAGGACAACCAGGTCCATCCACACTCTCAATTACCTGAAAGAATACAATTACACTTTACCTAAGCTTATCCTTCCACCTCTAACACTAATACCTCTGCTCCACCACATTCCCTCACCTCATTTATATCCAATCATGACTATGTTTGTTTCACCTCCCTATGCCCCAATAGTCAGCAGCTAGTTCATACTATTCCACATGACAGTGAACCTTCCTCTTATGAAGAAGCAATTTTAAATCCTGCCTGGCAACTGGCAATGACACAAGAATTTGATGCTTTATATGCAAATGACACTTGGGAGTTGGTCCCTTTACCTAAAGGCAAGCATGTTATTGGGTGCCGATGGGTGTATAAAATTAAGTACAAAGCAGATGGAAGTATAGAGAGGTTCAAGGCAAGATTGGTAGTAAAGGGGTATACACAACAGGCTGGTATAGACTACAATAAGACCTTCTCACCTGTAGTAAAGATGACTACTGTTAGGACCGTCATTTCTTTGGCAGTTAAAAAGGGTTGGGACTTGTTTCAACTAGATGTTAATAATGCTTTTCTCCATGGTGATTTGAATGAGGAGGTTTTCATGACATTACCACAAGGACTTGCAATGGATGGTAAGGGCATGGTTTGCAGATTGAAAAAGTCATTATATGGCTTAAAGCAAGCCAGTAGGCAGTGGTATGATAAGCTAGCTAGCAGCCTCTGTTCAAAAGGGTGCACTCATTCAAACAGTGACTATTCATTGTTTTATAAAAAGCAAGGATGCTCATTAGTGTTTGTTGTTGTATATGTCGATGATATCATTTTGACTGGTACTGACTTGGAGGAAATTACATCTTTGAAGGCCTTCTTGTATGATCAGTTTCGAATAAAGAATCTAGGGAAACTGCACTATTTTCTGAGGTTGGAAATACTATATAGACCTGATGGTGTCCTCATTTCACAAAGGAAGTTCACTCTTGACCTTCTGAAGGAGTTTGATTCTATTGACTGCAAGACTACTACTTCACCACTTGATCCTGTTGAAAAATTGAAGGCCACAGAGGGCAAGTTATTATCAGATCCTACTCACTATAGAAAGTTGGTTGGCAAGCTCAATTTTCTCTCCAACACAAGAATAGATATTGCATATAGTGTCCAGCACCTCAGTCAGTTCATGCAATCACCCAGAGAACCTCATTTACCATGTCCTAAGATACCTCAAACAAGACCCTACATTGGGAATAGTTGTCTCTAATAAACCTAACCTCAATATCAGTGCTTTTTGTGATTCAGACTGGGCTACTTGTCTTGATTCAAGAAAGTCAGTCAGTGGTTACCTAGTCTTCATGGGTGATAGTCCCATCAGTTGGAAGTCCAAGAAACAAGCCACAGTCTTCTTATCTTCTGCAAAGGCTGAGTATAGGGCTGTGAGACAAGTAGTTGGTGAATTGGTGTGGCTGGAAAGATTACTTGATGAGCTGACAGTGCAGTGCTCCTTGCCTATATCTGTTTTCTGTGATAGCCAGGCAGCAGTTCACATAGCTAAGAACCCTGTTTTTCATGAGAGAACTAAGCACATAGAGGTGGACTGTCACTTCATTAGAACCAAGCTCCAACAAGGTCTGATCACACTCCAACACATTTCCACCGGTTCTCAATTGACAGATGTTTTCACCAAAGCCTTGACTGGTGTCAGGCATGCTACTCTTTTGGGCAAGTTGTCTGTGTTCAGCTCACCTCCAACTTGAGGGGGGGGGGGGGTGATGAGATTACAATTTAGTTAATCACACAATTAGCATTCGTTTTACAATTAGCATTAGAATACACAAAATTAGTTAGAGTTCACAAAGTTAGTTGGTTAAGTTGTTATTCTGTCAGATCAAGTTAGTTAGCTGAAATAGTGTATATATACACAATACTGTATTGCTTATATTTCCTCAGTTTATTCTCAATAAAAAATTCTTTCACTTCTCTCTCTCTGAATGCTCTTCTCGTGAAGCTTAAACCTCCATTAATGGAGGAAGCTTAATATTTTCCAGCTTATGCTGTTGTTTTTTGTCAACAATATATAACAAGAAACAAAGAAAACATCGATCCTTGTCCAATGAGTACCCCCACTTCAAGGCACTTATCAACTCAACCGAAACCTTGCTGGGGTCATTGGGGGAGTACAATGAAGAGTACGTGGATATGCGGCTTCACAAAAAGGTTGGCTCACACAAATGCAATTTAGGCGGAAAATATAGCAATCATTCATGGACTTTGACAAGCAAAAGAAAATGGCTTAAGACCTCGATCTTGAAGCAAAAACATCGGTCTATATGATTACAAAAGGTCACCTACATCACACTAACTTAATTTCTGAATGCATGTACGTACTTGATGTGGAAGATCATGGGATCAGCAACACTAACACAAATGTGTTCAGGGAACTGAACAAGATCAATGACGAAGGAGGGAGCTATATATGGGGAATCCTATTCTTTTTGAAGTTCCTTCTGTGTGTGTCTCATCACTAACTATTAGCAATAGACACGTTACGAACCTTTTTTTGTAACAACAATTAAAAGCCCTGATGGATAAACAAGCAGTCATACCACGACCAATATTATTCACGTCGGGGAATGCTTCTAATGAACTAAGTTAATCTATAAATCTCCTATTTTACCCAAAAAGGAAAACATCAATTATGCAACTTGGTAAAAAAAGTGTTGTAAATCTCAAACAATTAATTCATAAATATATGATTATGGGAGACAAAATCAACCTAGCTTGATTTATTTTTTAACATAATTAGTTGCGACTATGTTGAACAACTTACAAAAACATGTTCAATTAACAAAATCAAATAGTAAGTGATTTTTTACACATGCATTGATAATTTATAATGACCAAATAAATAAATAAATAAAATCATGTTATTTCAAGAACAGAGACATATAACACCATTATTAAAAACATAAAATGGGAAAATCAAATGTCTTCCTTTGGTTTAGCTTTTTTCTTCCCTAAGACAAAATCCTTATTAATTATTTTATTTTCCTCTTTCAAATAATCAACAAATTATTAAACAACTTTACAAATAATTTCTTCAAACCGATCAAAAAGGTATAAATAAAGTATCATACTGTATATATCATTGTACACATAAATTAAAGTTGTGGAGAAGATTTAAGCCAAGGGACTCTTTGAGTCTTGTTAAAAAGAGGTGCCATTTTGACTAGTTAAGGTCAAAGGGTTCCTTGAAATCAGTATCCAAAATCATCTGAGTCGTGTTGCCACTTATATTCCAACTTGATAGGCATACGACATACCAATTTCAATTTTAAATAATTATTTCATTATTACAACGTAGAAAGTAAACATTGATCAAAATAATTATAGGTCATAAACTAAAGGTGTCTTGAGTAACCATAAGTGTGGAATAATATAAATACAATCCAAAAATTGGTGATATGATTCAAGAGCATCTAAGAATAAAATAAAGGTAAGTATGCATTATTATGTGAAACAAAAAGACGAAATAATAATAATAATAATTTTAAAAAAAAAAGTCTAGTGTTGTGGGATCATCCAAGCAACTCACTTTGAAATTTTCATATCAATTGCTACTAGCACGGTCGCAGGCTTGGTATTCGAATCAAGATCCGCCTAACAAATGCAACAAGTGTAGTATGAATATAAAAGAATGACATATAACCAAAACTGTATACCAAACATGTATCCCAAAAAAATAGTGACAAGGATTAATGACCTTTAAAAATACTTGTTTTCAACTAGTACTGCTCATAAATAGTCAACAAATAAGGTATGTAACCGCTCACAAGATAAAATTACCCAAACAACATGTTAGCATATAAGGAGAATATGCACAATTATTCAGCCAAATTAGCATAAATAAATGACCTTTATTATTTTTGCTATCATGATATTTTGTTCCTTCGCTATTTTCATCATATCTTATTTATTTTTGTACGTTTTAAACCTTAATTAAAAAAAACGTTTTTATTAAACTGAGGATCTTCAGAAACCCCTCTCCACAGAGATAGGGATCAGGTCGGCGTACACCTCATTCTAGCTTTTAAAACTCTACTTATGAGATTACACTGAATTATTGTTGTATGAAAAAAAGTAGAGCCTGCCTAGGAATTTGATTTTGGAACATAATTAGGTGGTTCCTCAAATAAAGAAAGCTTATTAATGAAGGATTGAATTGTTTAATAGAGGAAAATCAAGCTCCTTATTTTCCAAGTGTGAAATAAAAAAAGTGAATATCTGAAACAAAATCTAATTGAAAATGAAGATATTGAAGGGGTCACTTTCTTTGTCCTTGTACAAGTACGAAAAAAATCAACTATGTTTATAATACATAACTCCAATATACAAGACCCCCAAAACCCTAACCAACATATCTTCTACTTTTTGTAAAGAGATTGCCAATAATGTTATATACTAATAAATCAAACAATTAAAAAAATACAAAATCAGATTTGTTTCCATGGACTGTCTTTCAGAGATCTTCTCTTCCAAGAAAATCAAAGATCATGATCAACAACAATTGATTCAGATTCCCTCTACTCCATGCCAACCACATCATCAAGATCTGGCTTCAAATGGTCCTAATTATAAAAGGAAGAGGTCGATAAGTGATCATAAAGAAAGAGATTCTTTAACCAGAAAGAATTCGGTTCAGAAGAGAGTTTTGCATAGAGATGTTGAAAGGCATAGAAGACAAGAAATGTCTAATCTTTATGCTACTCTTAGATCACATCTTCCTTATGAATCTATCAAGGTGAATTTAATTACCTATATATACTTTCCTTAATTTTAATTTTCCATATACATATTGCATAAAACCTAATTATAATTAGGTCATGTGATGAGCTAATTAAGACAATTTTTCTTTTTATGTTATAATTTTTATTAGGGAAAACGTTCATTACCAGATGACATGCAAGAAGCAGTGAATTACATCAAAAACTTAGAGAATAATATCAAAGAACTTGAAATAAAGAGAAAAAAACTTGAAGATTTGGCCTTGTGTTCTTCCAAAGAGGATAAACATTTTGGTGATTATGTGACAATAAACTTATGTGATTGTGGTGTGGAGATTTTGATCAATGAAAAGGTTCCCCTCTCAAGAGTACTTGAAGAGCTAGTGAAGAGACAACTCAATGTTGTTAATTGTGTCTCAACCAAAGTAGATGAAAGATTTCTCCATAGGATTCAACTTGAGGTATATGTTTGTATGACCATCTCATTTAAAAATTATTGATCACGTACTTATTATATATAACACATTCCTCACAACCAAGTTTAGTGTTTGTGGATGAAAATACTATTGTGAATCACTTTGGACTAGATTTTCTCTCACATGTCAATTAGGAGATTCAACAATTTATACATATGCAGAAAGAAATTGTTTGTGCCCTAGTATTCACACAATATATCTTTTTGATACAGGAAATTCAATTGAAAATAATACAATGCAAGTAAAAGTTCCAAAATTCATGGAGATATAGACCGAACAACATTTATATAAGTTATCATGCTTGCATATGATCCATCAACCTTCTTGTGTCACTGAATTTCCCACTGAAAAATGTTCAATGACTATTTCTATTGATATTTTGATTGAATCGATAGTGTGCAAATAGTAATTGTTTTAAATAGAAAAACTAGAAAGCTTCCCACTATTTCTCACCACGCATTTTCCTAGTGGAGTTAGTATGGTAGGAAATGAGTGGGCTATAAATTTTCCACTGATTCGTGATTGGAAAAAAACCTCATTTTGTTAGTGTTTCATAATGTATGCAGGAGGGTGATGTTTCATGCATGTGCATGGATGGTCTAGAACAAAAGCTTGCAGAGATGATTGTGTTCCACTCTTGAGTGAAGATTTGGGTATTTCCCTACTTCTAGTCATGATCAATTTAATTTCAAGAATATATTTTCCATCTTTAATTGTCACTTTTCTTGTTCTAATAAAAGCTTAATTATATCCTAAACCTTACAAATATTTTCATGACATTTTATGTAGATTTATATATCTTACACTTGGTAATGTTACGTTCGTCATGTGTTATTTGCCTCTGGGTTGCAAAGTGCATTCATAGTACTAAACTAGTAAAGGAAATAAGAGGATGATCTTGTATAAGGAAAATGTATTTAAGCTATGTACATCGTTGGTGTAAGAAATTTTTTGCACTAGCAGGTCATTCAATCAAATGATATTTATGTATAGGCAAACCTCTTTAAAATATGACATAATAAATTTACAGTGACTATATAATGTAAACTCAAGAAAATAAAGTTATTAGGAGTTTAAGCTTATTAGTTTTTTGAATTCATATAAAAGATTGGTAAAATAAATTCCTAATGTGGTGTTACAAGGTAGTATAATTATAATATGATGATAATTGATCTTCATGTATGTTGTGGATGCTTCAGTGATGTTTTATGAGTTATGTCAACAGGCCATAATACATAAATATGTTGCCTCAACTCACATTTATATTCTGTTATATGTTTGGTGTGTACGGGTAGAAACTTATGCTTATATAAAGCTGAACAAATAGACACTCATGTCCTACGTGGTATCTTACATGTCATTTTGTGTCCACGCATATTATATCACGTAGAACTTGTGTGTCTACTTGTTAAAACTATCTACTTGTGCACGCCTAAAATTGAAAAACATAAATATAAAATGATTGAGACCAAAGTAAATTACACATTTATGTATTATATGTCTTTTGACTTTCTTGCATGCATGTATGTTTTTTTCTATTTTCTTTCAATAAATAATAAAGCTGCCTAGATGGGTAGGCGTTGTATTAACAAAAAGTTGCATGCATGTATGCTGAATCTTCAAGCTATCAACATACATGCATAAGAATGAAGTTATGCGACAGTTCTAATGTTTTTATATGAAAGTAGGTTAGTTATTATTTTTTATAATCAAATTGTCAATTAATATATGATTATCACAAAGATTACTAGTAGTTATATATATATCTTATAAGTGATAAGCTAATTGTGTAATATATATATATATATATATATATATATATATATATATATATATATATATATATATATATATATATATGACGGAAATAAGGATGCTTAGATGAATTGTGTGGATATATTAAAAAGAGATAAAATGATGAACGAAAATATATGACGCAAGGTGCCAAGGTGGGAGTGACTTTGGACAAGATGAGGAAAGCGAGGGTGAGATGGTTATGTAAACAGTGATAGGTCTAAGTAGAAGTAAAGGTAGACCAAAAATATTTTTGGAGAGAGGTGATAATTAGACACATGACATGACACATCACCAATTCGCCGAGGACATAATCATAAATAGGAGAGCATGAAGATGAAAGATATATTAAAGTAGAAGGTTAATAGATAGTCGAGTGATTTTTCATTTTTTTTCTAACGAAGAGCACATGGTTCTAGTCACAGTTCCAGTATTGTTGTTGTTGTTGTTGTTGTTGTGTTGTTGTTGTTGTATATTATTATTGTTAATTGTTGTAGCAGTATATGTCATAATTTTCAAATTGTGAGCAGGCAATCTTCTGTGATTCAGGAGCCATATAAATTTTTTATTTTTTTACAATGTTCTTAATTACCCTCTAGACTTACACGTTAGAATTTGAATAATTTTTTTTATGTGATCGATAATGATCAATCTCATGTATCTAATTTGTTGTTTTCATGTGTTATATTTTATTGATCTCTTTATTTACGAATATATTGTGTAGAAATAAATGATTATATTTTATTGATCTCTTTATTTACGAATATATTGTGTAGAAATAAATGACTTGAAAATCTCAAAGATACTAATAACAAATGTATCTTTTTGTTTGTCATTTACATTATAATATTCAAAAGAAGATATTCCTACCAAAATTTGGGATATGTCTAATGAAGAATCCATTTGAGGTCAAGACCAGCAACAGCTTCAGATTCCTATCCAATTAAATGGACAAAATATCCATCAAGATCCAATTGGGGGTCCTCATATATAATTAGTCTAGTCTATCCAATTATTCACTCTGCTCCATTTTATGTACAACTATTTTTTATTAATTCGTTCTCCAAAAAAGCGCATTTATATATATAGCGTTTCTTCTTTCTGAAGCTTGAGTTATCTTGTCTTTATGTACATTTCTTTTGTTTAAGACAACTTGCTAGTTTGGGGAAGGATCTCAAGTCAGAGTAGAAGGTGGCTATCCCACAATTCTTCATGAAAATCCTCTTTAAAGCCTATATCATGTCATTTAAGGCACAATAACCATCTTTCATGTTAGATTCATTGTTGGACCTTGTTACATGTCGGACCTTCCATAATTGTTGTCATGTCTTGGATCGGGGAAGACGTTCTTCAAAACAAGACATATAATACAGAAAAGATCATCTATGAATCTTATATAGACGAGTCAAATTTAACCCCATATGTGTTGTAGCCGTCCATATACATATTTGGAAACAACAAACATAATTACTTTTATAATTATAGAAATATCATGACGGGCCATAAATTTTAAATGTATTTGTTTAATTCTTGAACTTCAAGTACTCACACTCCACCACATAAACCCCCAAAGGTGGACCAACTGTTTACCAAAACAACACATCCCTTTATATATTTTTCAATCAAATAATTTGTTGTTTCATCAACTTTCTAATCTTTAATACAGGACGACTCAAATACATTAGTTGCCTAAAGCCAAATTCAAATGAAGGCTTAAAATTTTAAATTTCTTTTTATGAAATTTATTATAGCCACTCAATTTAATCTTTCTTGATACATAGTATAGATTTGTCAAACTTCTAATAATTTTGTCCTCTTGTATAAAGAATTATATTTTCTATAAATAATACTATATTTTTTAAAAATAAAATAATACTTATAACTTATGCAACCTTTTTTTAAGCCTGTAGAGCCGCCCCCTGCTCTTAGAATAGAATGAATTCTATTACCTTTCATCTTCCATTCCAAGCTTATCTGCAGTCTAGACGTCCTTAATCCTCCTTCCATCATCGACGATAGCATTTATATCGATGAACTTAATTTATATTTACAATATATATAAATGCAATTTGATTAGTCATAAACTCCTAGTAATATTTTCACTTTATTTATATATAAAATAAATTTCTAGGTGAATTTAGTTCATGACTAAGAAAGGTAGGAGTCGTCATAACATCACTTGCTTAGAAATAAAATTAGAATGCTATAGTAGTTGGGATATAATTTCAAAGACATTATAGATGTTATTAGTATATACTAACTATTATGGTTGTGAAATTGTGACAACTTCATCCTTAGCTTTCTAGAACACTCATATTTTCTTGGAATTTTAAAAAAATATAATCTAACATAAAATATTACGTCACGTAGTCATTCAGTTTACAATACTATACACTTTTTATGTAAACTCTGTATCACCCTTATGTGAAAGTGTATAAGAAGTGTTTATACACACTTTTACGTTGTCATACAAAAACACTTATTTTGTCTCCTAGGAACTTGAACCCACGAAAACATCATAAAATAGCTCAAATCTTCATTGAATAGCTTCGAATTTTAACCACGATTTCAAAACAACATTCCGACAAACCCCAATTATCAATTAGTCAAAAATTTCAACAATGACAAAACTCATTTATGGGTTTTCAAGCCTTTGGAAACTTAAACAATAGAGTTTTAAATTTCACTTTAATTCAGCCAAAAATGTTTAAACCTATGATGATAAAAATGAATATCAACTCTTAACTAGTTTCTAAGCATTAGAAATGAAAATCATAATCACAAATTAAAAAATTATTGCCAATTATCCTATGTATTTCATATTACATACAAAAAGGGGTAAACAGAGTAAGATCTGAAAAAATGGGCTCATTTTGATTATAAGCTTGAGTCAAGTGCTATAGAGTGTACAATCCATTCTTCCTAATTAAATTTACATTCTTTCTCACAATCTTTACATGATACTTATAACCTAAAGTAACATTTTTTGTCAATAAAAGAAACAGAAATGTATAAACCTACACCTCATCCCCCTCCAAAACGAGTTCAACAGTCGTAGAACAAGTTGTACAGTTGTATTGGTAGTTATGTATATGGGGAATGCACTAGTGAGCGCCCTGATGTTGCTTTCTAGCTGTGTTGGTCCTTGGAGCTTCTGATGATGACAGCGGAACAGAAGATGGAAATGTACAATGAATACTGTCCAGGTATACGCAGCAAGATTGGAGCATCCAATGCCTGTATTATAGGTTCCTCAACTCTATGTTAGGGCATACATATATCCAATCCAGGTCAAGGCATCACGACTGCTTGGTCTTCTCTAGTAAAGATGGGATAGGCCGATCAATCAATCAGAAAAAAGTGAGTAAGCCAGCCTTCTCCACAAAGAGGGGCTTATGACAATCTCAGACTATAAGAAATACTAAGTAGACTGCAATAAGGGTTCATTACTTTAAGATGATTTAATATATTTGGATACAACAGGTAGACATAGTACCTTTTTTCAGTCAAGATAAATTTTGATGTCGATACCATTATCAATGAGGGACTGAACAACTGCTCTAATTTTCCCTTCGAATTTGTCCCTATCCCTAGGTGTATAAGAAGCAGTGTATACATCAGCCTCTCTTGCCCTGTCGGACAATATCTGTCCAACAGACAAGCATGCAGGAATATCACTTCGTGATTTGAGCACTGCCTTGATATCTTTGGAGTTTGTACCAGCTACTGCAACCTGTTTGCATGTAACTCTATGGGTGATTGAGGCTGAAACAAAGCGCTTTGATATGAAAACATCAAGTGTGAACGGTTCCATGTAAGCTACAGTCCGTTGCTTGAAAGAAACATGCTTGTTTGGGTTCTTCGATTTTTTCCCCTTCTGATAAGTATATGGACGGCTATTGTCATCATCAACAAAATCTTCCACCCCGAAAAAGCTTCTAGGTGCTAAACCAGGCTGCCAAACGAAGCAACAAACTTATTCAGGGGACACTATTTCAAAAATATACAGGTCCATCTCTATAATAAGCTATAAAACCAAGTGCAGATAAAGTTTGTTTGTTCATCACACATATGTCAAGTGCAATGCGTAGAAAACATAAATGCAGGTAATTATGTGTGTGGAACCACATATTTTCATAGATGAAGTGGAGCTTGCATATCATTTAACACTTGCTAATGAATTAGTAACATTTTATCAGTACATCAGTGCTACAAAGACAATAGCAAAGCAATCACTCTAAAATGTACATACACATCATGTGCTAGCACACCGAAGCACCACACAGTGATACTTGAATGCAATTTTTTCTCCTTTTATCATACCTCTTATTCCTCAAATGCACGGAACAAAGGGGAACAGTGTTTGGTATTACAACAAGCCCATACATTCAAACAAAGGAGGAAGAAGGCCACATTTTTTCTAATATAAGAGCAACCTCACCACTGTGGCAAGGAAACCACAAGTAGGGGTGTTCATGGTTCGTTTTGGATCGGTTATTAGATAAAACCAAAACCAAACCAATTTAAATCGGTTTTTAAATTTCTAAAACCAAACCAAACCAAATCAAAAAAATAACCGTCGGTTTGGTTAGGGTTTTTTGGTTTTTTCGGTTCGAAAGTAATAAGTTTGTTGAGGACATACGCATCTCGATAGACACAAACACTTGGTATATGAATAATTCACAAATTATAAGCTATTATACAAACAAAGTGATTCATCCAATGGACCAAGTTTCAGAAACTAAAAAAACTGGTTGTCAATAGCATAAAGTTGGTTCAATATTCCGGATATCTCAACATCTTGTCAATAGACTTTTCAATAAAATTACACCTTAAGATATTGAGAAATTACTTTTAAAAAAGATAACCAATATTTCATAGTCAAAACTAATCAATTACCATATTGTTTTGTTTGAGCTTTTAATTATTTAATGTTGCGTTAGAAAATTTTATAAAATACAGAGAGAGTGTGATCTTTAAAGTAATGAATATTGAGGGATTTAGACTTAATGTTTTGATACTTGGGCTAAAATTTAAGTGTTGGGCTTCAGAAAATAGTAAAATTAAAAAGACTTAAGTTGATTAAAATTTATCAATATACTTATATTTTTTATAAATAATTATAAAATTTATATATATAACTTCTCAGTTCGGTTTGGTTATTTTTGTGGTTAATTTTTAGTAAAACCAAAACCAAAACCAAACCAAATAAAATCGGTTTTTCAAAATTTAAAACCAAACCAAACCTAACCAAATCAAACCAAATATCAGTATTTTTTAATCGGTTTGGTTCGGATGGCGGTTTGGTTTGGTTTTATAACCATAACCATGAACAACCCTAACCACAAGTATACAAACCTGTAAGCAGGACTGACATCAAGTGCTGCAAATATGGAGTCAACAGTGTTTTACTTCTCTCTCTTTCTCACAAGCTACTCCTTATCATTCTTTTCCTGGATAAAATAGTCATTCCTTATTTTTTAAGTGAAGGACGGGAATCACTTCAAGCTCCTAAAAATGTATAGTTTCTTCATTATTGGCTTGTTTTTGTCAATTAAGCAATCACATATATACATAATACAAGCATTTTTATATAATAGCATCCTCACAACAGAGGAGAACCAACTGATTCCTCAACTAAGCGAAACCAACAATAAAGAGTTCATTTCAACAAAATGGTGGTTGCTTCAAAATGCTTTATGTCCACAAGGTATGATTATTTCACTAGATTTTAAAATGCATTGCAACTAAGAAATAACAAAATATTCTTCACATATTAGAAACGGCCAACATTCTCAAGAACCTACCATTTGGAGCTTCACCTTTTCATAGTTACATGATTCTATCATCACAGAGTACCTTCCCAGTTACTTGACGCTATATAGAACAACTTTTCATTTAAATATGACTTAATGAAGATCTAACTACTGCTCGGTCATACCGCTTTTGCCTTGATGTGAGATCTTCACAACAATTACTCCACTTTTACATAGTCCAACAATTTCTCAAACACATCTGTACATAACTCTAATATCTAAAACTATTCAAATTAATTCAATCTCTAATTATATGCAACTGGCAAAACATGATAAACAAACTTGGGATGGAAGATGAAACAATGTCAGTGAAAGTTGCTTTGTTAAGAGTCTAGACTCTCTAGAGAACAATTAACTCGACTCACTTGAGCCTTTATCTCAATATGAAACTAATAGTCTGAAATGATAGAGTTCATTCCAACAAGCCTTATATGGAAACAAGAAGATCATACTGATTCCCATGTAATGTGTGGCAATCCTACCATAATATTCACCAGTCCTCTTACCCGAGAGTCATTTGTATGGAAGTTAATGAGCACTCTTCTGCATTTGTTTTACTTTTACATAAAGACCGTCTTTGTTTGAACAATAGATAAACACACCACTGGATAAAACAAACAAGAAACCTCAGAAGTAACAAGTGGTTTAGCTAAGATCTAAATAGCCATGTCCTATTGGAAAACCATACAAGTCAACAAGACAGAAGCAAGAACATTCGCTCTCTTTCCTGCCAAAGTTATGTATGCACATATGAAAATAGAAAGGCTGCATGAAGTAGTAGCATCAACACAAATCATTTTACCTTTGAAGTATGAAAGCCACTAACTTGTGCACATAGAAAAGGCCTCAACTTCTGACCTCCTCGAGCGCACAACATTTCAGAAACTAGTTTCAGCATACTCCCATAAAAAAGAGACCTTTAATCAAATAAGACAGAGTATTAGTGCATTAGTTCTAGTACAATCCCACAAAATAGAGAAGTTGGGTTTCTGAATGCAACACACAAATAGAACATACTTCCTCCATCCCAAATACACTCTTGCTTATTAATGAGGCAACTCATTCCATTAAGACTGTTTTTCCATCCAAAAATTTCAAGATAAAGTCCAAATCGACTAACAATGCAAATTTAAGTTGGGTTGTGATTGATTAGTATTTGAACTTAAAATTTCGATTTCGTAATTTTCTATCAAACAAACTCGTTTTTTTAGTCAGGAATTAATGAGAATTTCAATATTAGTAGGGTCTTCATGGGCAATCCAATACTCATTGGCTGCCCACCTAAAGCCTACCAATTGTTCTCCATCCATATTTACATCATTCCAAGAATTAGGACGCATTTCTATCAAGAAAATTCGTGACCCATTATTTTATTAGTGTTCTTCATCACACCTAAATAGAAAAAAACCCACTTTTTAAATTTTAAAAAAAAATTTGGTATTCATTGAGGCATTTCGTCAAACAACTAGCAGACATTCATCAGTCAAGTCTTTCAACAACTCTAACACTAACTTAGATACATCAAAATGATAAGGAATTGAAGATAACACCTGCGGAAAAAGTTTTGATAGAGTAAATTGCAGATAAAAGAAGAACAGTTATCACCTTTCACTGCAAAGTCGCCGGTTTCTCTTACTCCTGTTTCTTACTTGAACATCAAATTGTATTTTTCCCTTTTTGTATATTTATTTATTGAAGAATGGGCTGAAAGCCCATATGAAGTGGACCAACTAATTTATAATGTTAATACCATGCATAAACAGTACTATATATTTATATGTAATAAAATATAGTATATTTATGTAAGTTTTCCTAATAAAAATCTCTTTTTATATAGAAAAAAATAATTTCAATGGAATAATTTATATTATGAATACTTATTCAATAAATATTAGACCAAAAAGTAATAGTAATGCGACTTTTTCATATAAGTATATTTATATGGTAAAAATACATTGTATATATTTTAGATATAAAAATATTATACCGTGAATATATTTACAAATAAAAATTTAGAAATATTTCTTACCAAATACTACTCTGCATAATAAATTTATACCATGCTTATTTACTCCATAAATATATACCCAAAGGCCAAAAATAACATTATATCATGAATACTTATTCCATAAATATTATACCAAAAAGTAACAATAATTCGACTTTTTCATAAAAGTATATTTATATGGTAAAAATACATGGTATATATTTTAGATATAAAAATATTATACCGTGAATATATTATATATAAAAATTATATGTAATTAGAAAAATTTCTTATGAAATATAATAAATTTCTACCATGCATATTTATTCATAAATATATAGCCAAAAATAACAATAATCTTTTCTTGTCAGAAAATATATTTATACTATAAAATACATGGTATACTAGAAGAAATTTATATCATGCACATATCATATGTAAAAAATTATGTGTTATCATTATTAATAATAGTTTTATATAAAAATAAGGAATTATATTAAAATAAAATGAAAGAATTCTCTATGAGATCTTTGAATTTAGTGGCTAATGAAGATTTGTGTAATAATAGCGCGAGAAAAAAACGGGCAAGGAAGATTTGTGTAATAAGGATGAGAGAGAAAATTAATTAGTGGCAGTTTTTTTATGTTTAACCGAGATAATAATTGTTTAAAAGTTCTTTTTTATTAAACGGCCATATATGAAATAAAATCTCTTATATTTGTAATATATTACAAAGTACTACTTTATTTATGTAGTTAAGTTGGGCCTTTTCACATAATTTCCCCTACTTTTTTAGGGGTGTTTGGTTGGGAATAGATACTGCCGATAAATGAGCTCATATTTTGGTAACTTGTTCAACCTATTCATAATTTAATGGTTAGCTGAGTGATTTTTTTTATAGGGGTAAACTACATTAATGGGCCATAAAATTTAAAATAATTACAAGTTCATACCCAAAACCAAGGTAATTCTTGAAATACTCATTCTCTCATAGATAATTACAACCCATACCCCATTCATTAAGGCTGATAATTTCGTTTAACTAATATATATATATATACTTTTATAATATCATTGACTAATGAGTAATTTTTGAACAAGAAACCTTAATGTCTACTTCAGCAATGAGCTTGTAGCTAAAGGTGTGGGGGCCACTTTAATATTTTATCCATTTTAATTTATTTGTCTTACTTTACTTTTAAATATGTTATATATTTGAAAATTACCTTAGAATTATGGTAAATCATGATAATTAACAACTTAAAATATTTGGGTTGTATATTTAAAAAGTACTATCAATCACAATAATTAACTACTAAAAATATGTTTAAAATATTTTTAAAAAGCTGACTGACTCTCGAAATTCTATCAGTACCACATAAATTGAGACAGAGGGAGTAAAATTTTTTATTTAAAAATTACGTAAAATGTACTATAAATCACAATAACTAACAACTAAATTTTTTTTTGAATCATATAAACATTTTATTTGTGCCATTTAAATTGAAACACAAGGAGTATCAATTTAAAAATGATGTTAAAAAAATATTATAAATCACAATTATTCATATCTTTAAATTTTTTTAAAAATAATAATATTTGATCGACTCCTCAAATTTCATCCATGTTTCATAAATTAATATTAAAAAAATTAACACATATTAAATCTTTGCTGACACAGACTCCTGTATCTAGTATACAAATAATAAGCACTACAAGAGAACCCATGGCGAGTACCATTGTCTGAAATTAAAATGGTAATTTACGCTTTGAGCAATCAGAATTGACTTCATTTAGTTTTAGAATGATTCTTAACTAATATCCAATAATAGAAATAACTTTAAAGTCATTGCAATATTTTTGAACATAAATGTAGAAATTTGGAATTATCACCTATCTTAAGAAGCTATAATGAATGATTGAAGGTATCATTTTTTTGAGATCAATTTTACCTTCTAATACTTGTGGTTTTGGATGGTCACAATTTTTTTTCTTAATATAATGTCTTCTCGATATTGCATGATCTATTGTAAAATAATTAAGCATTAACACACAAACTTCCTTCATATCCCATTCCGAGATATGTAAGGAAAACGATAGAGAAGAAACAATTTCCTGATGTTATATAGTTGGGGGGGGGGGGGGTTTAAGAAGAGACAAATAAATTGCTTATTTTAAAACTTTATTAGCAATTGAAGAAATCAAGATGGAGTTTTGTGCTCAGATTTTGATTTGAAGTAATACTTGATTTTGGGTAATACTAAAATCTTAAAGATTTTTGCATGAGGAAGACATGAAGGACTGCGATATGGAGTCGGTCACTATGAAGTGCAGGGGACCACAATTTTGGTCCCTTGATGTCCGATGGCTAGCTGAGAGAAGGTCATCGCTTGCTTATGGAGATCTACATTTGCAAGACTAGCTACTGCAAAAGCTATGAGATCATCACCTTTTACTAGGTGCATTCATGATCTCATCAGCATATACAATAGCTCGCCTTACAAAGATATAATCTCCATAAACAAGTGATGGTCTCCTCTCAGCTAGCACTGGGACATCAAAGAACAAAAATTGTGCCCCCTTGCACTTTATGGTGACAAGCTTCGTATCATAGTTCCTCATATCTTCCTTATGCAAAAAACTACAAAGTTTTAAGAAGAGTGAGACAAAGGACTATTTTTGAGTGTTCAGTGAAGAAGATAGAGTGATACAAATGACTATTATATAGCTTCTAGGACAGTGAAAGAGTGTCAATGAATAGCATATCATATTACTTATAAGGAATATTAATTTAAATGATGTCGGTCAAAGATATAAAAAATTAAGGAATGTTAATTTAAATAATGTCGGTCAAAGATATCAAAGATTAATTTAAATATGCCGATCAAAGATATTAAAGATTAATTTAAATAATGCCAGTCAAAAATATCAAAGATTAAGGAATGTTAATTCAAATAATGTCAGTCAAATATATCAAAGATTAATTTAAATAATGGCCGTCAAAGATATCAAAGATTAAGGAGTGTTAATTTAAATGATGTCGGTCAAAGATATCAAAGATCAAGAAATATTAATTTAAATAATGTCGGTCAAAGATATCAAAGATTGTCAACATCGAGCCATTCAATATTTATAATTTAAATAATATAATATTTTTTTACACGTGACCATATTTTCACACACTTTCATTTACACGTGTCAATATTTTCCACGCTCCTTTATTTACACATGCTAATTTTTCATGTCTTTAACATCCATTGAGATCACATCATCCACTCATCGACTTTTAGTGAGACCTCCTTACTTCCGGAGGATTCTAGTTTTATGATTTGTTAGTAGTGGCATTTTGAGGTGTCGTGGATCTTTTCCCGACACCTATCCTTATATAGTAGAAACTTCATAGATAGACAATCTTGGTCAGTCTTTCAGTATCCAGTTTCAAATGTTTTATTTAAAATTTTATATTTAATATTCAGTATTTTCAGACAACTTTGAGATTTATTTAACTGTTTTTAAACAATTCTTCAATTTTAATGCTTGTGTATGCTTGAGTTAGTCTTCCTCTTAGTGGCCAACCAGGACAAGGGTGTTCTTGGGGACCATTAAGGATTCTCGAGTGCCAATCATGTCCAGGGTGTAGGCTTGGGGCGTGACAAAAGTGTCCTAGATTTTCTATTATGTTAATACTTTTAGGCTAAGTTGGATTGGATCGGCCTGTTGACGGTTATTATGTTTCGTGGTGGATGCTGGTAGTGTATCTTTGTTAAGTTAATTTCATAGTGGGATCTTGTTGTGATTAGATTATTGGTATAATTCCTCTGAGTATGTTCCTTTGCCTTCACTACCTATTTCTTTTGTCATATTCTTTTATCTCTACTTGCTTATATTGTGCATTACCTCTTCCGTAGTGACTTGTAATATATACTCCTTATTT